GGTCCAACCGGAAAAGTTTCGAAAAAACGGGTCCACCTTTTGAGGTGGTCCTCTTTTCCCGGTCGGACCGGTTGGAATTTTGGTTGAATGGATCGCGCCCTTGGTTTGTTGCCATCCAGAAATTTTGCTACCATGGCAACGTGACGGAACGACTTCTCTCTATTAACGAGGTTCAATAAACACGTTAAGAAGACCGCTCACAAATACAATTATGCTTGAATGAGTCTTATAATCAGAGTTTTTTAATTGTTTATTATACTTAACGTTAAAATTACTTTAACCCTTTCACTGCCAAATATGACCAAAGGCAAATTCGACAAAAATCCCAAATTTCATTTTGTAAAATTTTTTAAAACAAATAACACCACATGAAAGTACTTCCAAAGAGATTTCATTTGAGTGGTCGCACCATGGGATTTTGTCCACAGACTTACAAGTTAGAACCACCTCACAAACTCCATCATCCACTCTGGCAGTAAAAGGGTTAGAAAAGGGACATATATGACTCATGAATATATTTTATCTTTCATTTTCTATATTTTTCTACCAAAAATGTACTCTTGGCATTCAGAGACATCCATATAAAATATGGAATTTGAATTCTTTGAAATACAAATTTAAACTAGAGCATACATGAAGTAACCTGTCGTGGTGAGTGACCTTTGAAATGCTTCGATAGTTTGCCATTATCGCATCAGCGGAGCGAAAATGGACAAAATTTTTTGAATTTCTCGTTCTCAAAATAACCAAAAAACTGTACCTAAACAATGAAATCGTTGTATTTTCCTGTTGAGGTATCTTAATGTCGTTGATATTGTATCCAACTAAGTTAAACAATCGCAATGATTATCACACGTATTTTCAAGTATCAAAATAAATGGAAACACTGGTGTTGTATCTTTTTAAATTAATTTCACCACAGGGGCAACATTTCCTAGTTTTGGAAATTCATTTAACCGTATCAAAATGATGACCGCCAAAAAACAACAGTCAACTTGTAGTTAACATTTCAAGCTAAAGACGGATTTAATTTAAATCACGGAGTCTAGACACGTAAAACGAAGAGATATTTTACTTGTTGTTTTTCATTTGCTTAAATAGTTGATATTTCCCTGTTTCGATGTGAAACACGATTATTTACCGTGTTGTGTTTTCATGCCATCCAATACAAAATAACACCAAAGGCTACTGGTACCAGCCCTTCTGGTGGTGGAACTATCAGCTGTCTCAGTTCGATGAAGTTTTTGTTTGCAAAACGGAAACCTTAGTCATTTTGTCTCGTTGCCATTTAAAGAACGAGTTCCAATGCCTTAAAGGCGTTTTCAGTGCAATTTGTCAGAATTTGTCGTTTAGCAGCTATAGTCCATGGATGTATTCGCCTCTGCGTTCAAGCTGTACCCTGTTGGTCGTTCTATCAACTTTGGGATTGTTTTTCGTCGTCTATATACATGTTCGAACCATATCCCTCCCAACGTATTTACATGCCTTAAGGATCAACGAAATAGCATTTCCATTGGCCAAAGAATTATCTAGCTATAAAGAGAAGCCGTTCGTATACCTTGTGCAAGCAGAGAGCTGTCTATCTCAACATCTGCGGTCATTTGTAAATCTTGAGAGCAGCACCGAACGAGACTTCATAGTGTTAAGCTGGGGACAAGAATGCTTAGATTTATCGACAAACTTGAGCGGTGTCGTGTATGTAAATTACAGGAATACTACATGGAGCTCTGGAAGAAATATTTTATATGGACTGGCCTTGAACAAAAAAATCAATTATCGGTATTACATTTTTCTTGACGAGGATATAGAGTTTTCCTTTACAGCTAACACATCTCAAGATTTCTACAGCACGGGAACAAAACACCCACTAAAAGCATTTGAAAACTTTCTACTTAGTTACGAACCCGCTGTGGGATTGTGTAATTATTGCAGTCGATGTGGGAAGCCACTAGGAGATGGCTCGTACGTATCTGGTCTTTGCTGCTCTCCACGACCAACTAATGGAGATTTACCGCCAATTTTACCAGTATCTATTTCGTTTGATGCTGCTGTTAACGCCTTTCACACCCACGCGGTTAAATACATTTTACCGTACAGACTTGACTATGAGAACATAAGTTGGTGGGAGAGCCAGAAATATGTTATTCTGGCCTCGGATATTTTATTTCGAGGCCAAGTCGTGCGATATACTCCAGTGACGGCGACAAACAACAATCACAACGACTATCCCCAGCAGCTGCTTGACAACTGGGCCGACATATTAGAAGATATAAGAAAGATCACACCCAAACAATTTAAAAATCAGAGCGTTTTCAACAGAGAACCCATCGTCGACATGGTTCCTGAAGTAGTTGGAAATGTAGTGCGTACCCTACTGTGGAATCTCTCTATTCCTGAGCCAAAAACTCCCATTATCCCATACAGACACTTTGATCGATACAGGGAACATTGAATCACCAGAAACTTTCTTCGGATATGTTGTCATCAGAGTGGTAATCTTACTCCTATTGGATCAGTCAATTTGATAGATAGAGTGGTTTTCGTTTGAGTGTCGTAAAACCAAAACCAAAGTAATTACTCTGGCCAATCACATAGGACACAGACAATACATTGAACCAATCAAAACTCGAAGTAATTACATGTGGCTAACGCAAAGCGCGGGAAAATGCATGCGAGCGCGTCACAATGGGCTTTGGTTTTACTTCTGATTGGATGAAAAGGTGGCGCGAATCTTTTAAGTTAATCGCATCGTGTAGAAAGTGCAAAACCAATTACTTTTCGACACTCAAATGAAAACCGCTCTATAAGGAGAAGGACAAAGAGTTACTCCTTCCAATTGTCCCCTGCGCGCTTATTATTTCAGTTTAATTTTGGGCATACCAGCAGGAGCCTCTACGAGGAAAGAGATGTCAAAGTTGAGGTTATTGAAAAGGGCAAAAGCAACTTAGCAAACATATGTTCAGGTTATAAATCTTTACGAGGGATGTAATAGATATTAATGGCAAAACCTCGAGAAAGTCCTGAAATTCAACAATTTCGTTATACAGGCCTGGAAAGTCATGGAAAACTAAAGTTTTGTTTTGTAGATAAGTACTCGCAGATGTCAAAGCAAGGACAATGCAAGTCTAGATAGAGACAAGTAATTAATCAGCGCAAACGAAACGCGAAAACGGTTGTCACTTAATGCTGAAACTTTTTTCGCCCTGTCTAATTTTTGGATTTGAAATGAAAGGTAACCTGCCTTTAAACTAATGTTTTATCTTTACTTTTCACGCGCAGCATCATTTTTTATTCGTAGTTATAAAAGATCGCATTTCCTTATTCTTGCAATAAAAATAAAAACTTTCCAAGCAGGAAAACGATATTTATTAGTTGTAAACAAAAAAACATTCCAAATCTTTTTAAACTTCCTTTCCTTCTCGAGCTCAACACAGTGGCCGTTTATTTTAAAGTCAATTTTAAAGACATTTCCAGACAATAAATATTTTGTCTCTATAGCTTGTACAGGCATCTAATCTGATCGATTAAGCTTCCTTCGGGCTAAAGATCTTTTGCCAGGTGCAATTCGATTTCCGTGATGCTTATGGGTTTGTATTTCATTATATATGGCATCGGAAAGACTGGATGCAGTCGAGCCCATGTCTTCGTCGACTCCTGCATCACCAGGCCTTGGCGGATACTCGGTCTCGTCTCGTTTATTTTCCCATGCCTTTGGATAGTTGCGCCACCTGCTATTTCCCCATTTTGTTTTTAGGGTTTGAGATTGAAGGTCATGGCCCTCTTTTTCTTTTCCGCATCCCTCTTTATACTTTTCGTCACCAGGTCTTGGCGGCCACATCATGTGATGTTGAGCAAATGTCCCTAAGACGAGAAACATTTGTTAACATTGTCCCTATAAATCTTATTTCTAATTTCTTAATTAAGGAGCAATGAAAGAACAGGAGCCCTTCACCTAAAAAGCGTGAAAAAGTTTGAATGCTACTTTTAACTGATACAACTGTGTGTAACCAGAATTGATAGCTACTTATCCTATTTTCATAATTCAGTTTAAAGCCCGTGTGACTCTGTCCTTCAGTTCTCATAAGTATAGAGAATTGCAATCTTGCAATGTCTACATTTTAATAATCTTTCTTGTTTTAAAAGCATAAGCCTAACTCAATAAGCGTGTAAATCGGTACGAAGCAAGTAGAAAAGCTTTGTGTCTGTGCGCTTGCCCGCAAGTCACGTTTTTGCGAGCGTCACACGTATAAATCGGCAGAAGGCAATAATGAGCACAAGTGCAAAAAACAAACAGACAAACAAACCAAAAAACAAAAATTTTGGCACTCGCTACTGAGCTCTTTTCTTTCTGCCATCTTGGATTCTCATTCTAACGTCAACAGTGGTGGATTCAGGGTCTGCGTATTTCGTTACTAGAGCGGTTTTCATTTGAGTGTCGAAAAGTAATTGGTTTTGCACTTTCTACACGATGCGATTGGCTTAAAAGATTCGCGCCACCTTTTCATCCAATCAGAAGTAAAACCAAAGCCAATTGTGACGCAAGTAAAAGAAATTTAAAGTTGCCCGGAATAACCAGTCCTGTGGGATTTGAACTCTTTTCTTCAGTGCAAACGCTTTCTTTTGTTCTAATAAATTTGCATAGATGTTGGCCACGTGAGTGAAAACACCCTATAGAGTGGACATATAGCCTTATAAAGGTCTTTATGAACGTGTCCATCAAATAAGGCAAGCGGTGCCCCTGACAATTGTTGTAAAAGAGTGAAAATCCACTAAGCCATACCGAGGCGTTTTTTTGATTAAATACGATTAAATTTTCAGCAGTTCGGTTTTACCAGTAACATATTCACCTGTATAAAAAGAACACCTCTACAATTCGGACGCTTTCTTCCATGTCCGTATAGAGAGGAGAAGTGCGACGTCACGTTACCATGGTAGCAAAATTTCCTGGATCACAACAACAGAGAGTTTTTGCAACGGCGACGGCGAACGGCAATTAAGCAATAGGTTTAGATTGGCAATAAAAACAACTTTGCACGTGCATCACGCTTTTTTGTCCATTTCTTAGCCGTTGTTGCACTACTGCGACATGAAACTACCTAATTTCACGCGCCCCCTTTATGGAGTAAGTGAGCACAACACAAAAATTTTCTTTTTCATTTTCTAAACATAGATACGGTTCTTTCGGATTGCACCCAGAAAATTTCGCCAATACTTGACAAACGAGAAATTAAATAAGATCGATGAAGTTTGAAACAGTGCGTATCCACTTTTTAAGTGACGTTTTGGTTTCATTGTTACCTTCCAGAAATTTTGCTACCATGGCAACGTGACGTAACGACTTCTCTCTATTAACGAGGTTCAATAAACACGTTCAGAAGACCCGCTCACAAAATACAATTATGCTTGAATGAGTCTTATAATCAGAGTTTTTTGTTTATTATACTTGGCGTTAAAATTACTTTAACCCTTTCACTGCCAAATATGACCAAAGCCAAATTCGACAAAAATCCCAAATTTCATTTTGTAAAATTTTTTAAAACAAATAACACCACATGAAAGTACTTCCAAAGAGATTTCATTTGAATGTTCGCACCATGGGATTTTGTCCACAGACTTACAAGTTATAACCACATCACAAACTCCAGCATCCACTCTGACAGTAAAAGGGTTAGAAAAAGGACATATATGATTCATGAATACATTTTATCTTTCATTTTCTATATTTTTCTACCAAAAATGCACTCTTGACATTCAGAGACATCCATATAAAATATGGAATTTGAATTCTTCGAAATAAAAATGTAAACTAGAGCTTACATGAAGTAACCTGTCGTGGTGAGTGACCGTTGAAATGCTTCGATAGTTTGCCTTTATCGCATCAGCGGAGCGAAAATGGACAAAATTTTTTGGATTTCTCGTTCTCAAAATAACCAAAAAACTGTACCTAAACAATGAAATCGTTGTATTTTCCTGTTGAGGTATCTTAATGTCGTTGATATTGTATCCAACTAAGTTAAACAATCGCAATGATTATCACACGTATTTTCAAGTATCAAAATAAATGGAAACACTGGTGTTGTATCTTTTTAAATTAATTTCACCACAGGGGCAACATTTCCTAGTTTTGGAAATTCATTTAACCGTATCAAAATGATGACCCCCAAAAAACAACAGTCAACATGTAGTTAACTTTTCAAGCTAAAGACGGATTTAAATCACGGAGTCTAGACACGTAAAACGAAGAGATATTTTACTTGTTGTTTTTCCTTTGCTTAAATAGTTGATATTTCCCGGTTTCGATGTGAAACACGATTATTTACCGTGTTGTGTTTTCATGCCATCAAATACAAAATAACACCAAAGGCTTCTGGTACCAGCCCTTCTGGTGGTGGAACTATCGGCTGTCTCAGTTAGATGAAGTTTTTGTTTGCAAAACGGAAACCTTAGTCATTTTGTCTCGTTGCGATTTAAAGAACGAGTTCCGATGCCTTAAAGGCGTGTTGAGTGTATTTTGTCAGAATTTGTCGTTTAGCAGCTATAGTCCATGGATGTATCCGCCTCTGCGTTCAAGCTGTACCCTGTTGGTCGTTCTATCAACGTTGGGATTGTTTTTCGTAGTCTATATTCATGTTCGAACCATATCCCTTCCAAAGTATTTACATGTCTTAAGGATCAACGAAATAGCATTTCCATTGGCCAAAGAATTATCTAGCTATAAAGAGAAGCCGTTCGTATACCTTGTGCAAGCAGAGAGCTGTCTATCTCAACATCTGCGGTCATTTGTAAATCTTGAGAGCAGCACCGAACGAGATTTCATAGTGTTAAGCTGGCGACAAGAATGCTTCGATTTATCGACAAACTTGAGCGGTGTGGTGTATGTAAATTACAGGAATACTACATGGAGCTCTGGAAGAAATATTTTATATGGACTGGCCTTGAACAAAAAAATCAATTATCGGTATTACATTTTTCTTGACGAGGATATAGAGTTTTCCTTTACAGCTAACACATCTCAAGATTTCTACAGCACGGGAACAAAACACCCACTAAAAGCATTTGAAAACTTTCTACTTAGTTACGAACCCGCTGTGGGATTGTGTAATTATTGCAGTCGATGTGGGAAGCCACTAGGAGATGGCTCGTACGTATCTGGTCTTTGCTGCTCTCCACGACCAACTAATGGAGATTTACCGCCAATTTTACCAGTATCTATTTCGTTTGATGCTGCTGTTAACGCCTTTCACACCCACGCGGTTAAATACATTTTACCGTACAGACTTGACTATGAGAACATAAGTTGGTGGGAGAGCCAGAAATATGTTATTCTGGCCTCGGATATTTTATTTCGAGGCCAAGTCGTGCGATATACTCCAGTGACGGCGACAAACAACAATCACAACGACTATCCCCAGCAGCTGCTTGACAACTGGGCCGACATATTAGAAGATATAAGAAAGATCACACCCAAACAATTTAAAAATCAGAGCGTTTTCAACAGAGAACCCATCGTCGACATGGTTCCTGAAGTAGTTGGAAATGTAGTGCGTACCCTACTGTGGAATCTCTCTATTCCTGAGCCAAAAACTCCCATTATCCCATACAGACACTTTGATCGATACAGGGAACATTGAATCACCAGAAACTTTCTTCGGATATGTTGTCATCAGAGTGGTAATCTTACTCCTATTGGATCAGTCAATTTGATAGATAGAGTGGTTTTCGTTTGAGTGTCGTAAAACCAAAACCAAAGTAATTACTCTGGCCAATCACATAGGACACAGACAATACATTGAACCAATCAAAACTCGAAGTAATTACATGTGGCTAACGCAAAGCGCGGGAAAATGCATGCGAGCGCGTCACAATGGGCTTTGGTTTTACTTCTGATTGGATGAAAAGGTGGCGCGAATCTTTTAAGTTAATCGCATCGTGTAGAAAGTGCAAAACCAATTACTTTTCGACACTCAAATGAAAACCGCTCTATAAGGAGAAGGACAAAGAGTTACTCCTTCCAATTGTCCCCTGCGCGCTTATTATTTCAGTTTAATTTTGGGCATACCAGCAGGAGCCTCTACGAGGAAAGAGATGTCAAAGTTGAGGTTATTGAAAAGGGCAAAAGCAACTTAGCAAACATATGTTCAGGTTATAAATCTTTACGAGGGATGTAATAGATATTAATGGCAAAACCTCGAGAAAGTCCTGAAATTCAACAATTTCGTTATACAGGCCTGGAAAGTCATGGAAAACTAAAGTTTTGTTTTGTAGATAAGTACTCGCAGATGTCAAAGCAAGGACAATGCAAGTCTAGATAGAGACAAGTAATTAATCAGCGCAAACGAAACGCGAAAACGGTTGTCACTTAATGCTGAAACTTTTTTCGCCCTGTCTAATTTTTGGATTTGAAATGAAAGGTAACCTGCCTTTAAACTAATGTTTTATCTTTACTTTTCACGCGCAGCATCATTTTTTATTCGTAGTTATAAAAGATCGCATTTCCTTATTCTTGCAATAAAAATAAAAACTTTCCAAGCAGGAAAACGATATTTATTAGTTGTAAACAAAAAAACATTCCAAATCTTTTTAAACTTCCTTTCCTTCTCGAGCTCAACACAGTGGCCGTTTATTTTAAAGTCAATTTTAAAGACATTTCCAGACAATAAATATTTTGTCTCTATAGCTTGTACAGGCATCTAATATGATCGATTAAGCTTCCTTCGGGCTAAAGATCTTTTGCCAGGTGCAATTCGATTTCCGTGATGCTTATGGGTTTGTATTTCATTATATATGGCATCGGAAAGACTGGATGCAGTCGAGCCCATGTCTTCGTCGACTCCTGCATCACCAGGCCTTGGCGGATACTCGGTCTCGTCTCGTTTATTTTCCCATGCCTTTGGATAGCTGCGCCACCTGCTATTTCCCCATTTTGTCTTTAGGGCTTGAGATTGAAAGTCATGGCCCTCTTTTTCTTTTCCGCATCCCTCTTTATACTTTTCGTCACCAGGTCTTGGCGGCCACATCATATGATATTGAGCAAATGTCCCTACGACGAGAAACATTTGTTAACATTGTCCCTATAAATCTTATTTCTAATTTCTTAAGGAGCAATGAAAGAACAGGAGCCCTTCACCTAAAAAGCGTGAAAAAGCTTTTGAATGCTACTTTTAACTGATACAACTGTGTGTAACCAGAATTGATAGCTACTTATCCTATTTTCATAATTCAGTTTAAAGCCCGTGTGACTCTGTCCTTCAGTTCTCATAAGTATAGAGAATTGCAATCTTGCAATGTCTACATTTTAATAATCTTTCTTGTTTTAAAAGCATAAGCCTAACTCAATAAGCGTGTAAATCGGTACGAAGCAAGTAGAAAAGCTTTGTGTCTGTGCGCTTGCCCGCAAGTCACGTTTTTGCGAGCGTCACACGTATAAATCGGCAGAAGGCAATAATGAGCACAAGTGCAAAAAACAAACAGACAAACAAACCAAAAAACAAAAATTTTGGCACTCGCTACTGAGCTCTTTTCTTTCTGCCATCTTGGATTCTCATTCTAACGTCAACAGTGGTGGATTCAGGGTCTGCGTATTTCGTTACTAGAGCGGTTTTCATTTGAGTGTCGAAAAGTAATTGGTTTTGCACTTTCTACACGATGCGATTGGCTTAAAAGATTCGCGCCACCTTTTCGTCCAATCAGAAGTAAAACCAAAGCCAATTGTGACGCGCTCGCATGCATTTTCCCGCGCTTTGCGTCAGCCACATGTAATTACTTCGAGTTTTGATTGGTTCAATGTATTGTCTGTGTCCTATGTGATTGGCCAGAGTAATTACTTTGGTTTGGGTTTTACGACACTCAAACGAAAACCACTCTATCTGCTACTAAAACCAGTATTAAATCTGTGAAGGAAACCTTATGGTGCTACCATTCAAATGAAACCTTTTTGGCAGAACTTTTACATAGTACTAGTTATTTCTTTTGACAAAAGAATGTTTTTAAGAATTTTCTTACCTTGGTCTTTTTAAGAGAGAAATGGTTACGCTTATTGCATCCCGGGGGGTACTCTTTATGGCCTATACGGGGAGGCTTTCAGGCCTCGGGTAAATAAAACAGTAGGGATTTCACTAGATAAAGTATATGAAAGGGTAGGAAAATCTGTCATTTCGGTCTGTAAAATTATCGAAAAGGCCTACAGAAGGATTGCATGGCTGTGAAAAAGGCAAGAAAAATCACCAGTTTGTGATTTATTCATATTTAAAAGAGCGTGCATTTACAGCAGTTAAAAGGGATTTAAACTAGGTAAGTCAAAGCGCAAGGTGTTGGACTTCAGGGCGGAGGCCCCCCTTTTAAAATTTTGTTTGAGTACCCTCCCCCTCTCTGTAGATATCTTCGTGCTTATGCTAGTGTCATGGATGTACTCAGTAAACGAGCTCTGAGACTAACAAGAGGAGTTGATTATGACACTGCCAAAAATCTTAATTTATAATACTAGTTAATATCCTGGAAAAAATCAAGCAAAACAACCCAACCCAAAACGTCGGTCAGTATTTCGCCAGTTCAACTTTCAAGGGCTTATGTATTTGTCAAGAGAGAAATTACATACAAACAAACAACAGCACGCTGACTGGAGATAAAAACTAGGAAGGAGCCACAATTGAATTTCAACCCCTACAATGTCTAAAACTATAAGATAGAAATACTTAAATCGGAAGAAAAAAAATAGGTAAATAATGGAAATATACGTGTGCACAGTTAGGGTCTGCTAGGGGTGTAACTGTGGCGGCCGAAAGCCAAAGAAACTCAGCCTGATCTTATCAGTAGTGAGCAAGTAGAACACTTAAATTGTTGAGCACTGGTAGCATGCTTAATAGAATGAAAGGAGACTATTCCATGATATAACTGAATAACGGATAACGGACCTAATAGCATAGAGACCTCACGAAGTTTTTTATAACGCCTCATTAAGTTTCCGAGGGATAGTTTGGCTTTACGCACTGAGATTGCGCATGAGCGAAACTTATTCTGATGGATGACATTTTCTTGAAAGAATGGTGCAGCCTGTATTCACCTGTCGTAAAAAACGACCATGACGTTCAAGGTGGTTATATTTCTTTTCCGTTCCAAATTAGGCCTTCACAAGAAAACCACTTGTTCTTACCTGCAATACATATGAAAATCCCTAAGGAATAGGCAAGCACTAAGCCTGGATTCATGATGCTCGAAGCCGATCTACACGGTGACTTAAACTGCGCAGTGATTTGTACCTAGAATGCTTTACTTATAGATAGTTTTTGTTTGCGTGGTCGGACGGAATAGTGAAATTCTTCTGAATATAAACTAAATACTCGTACAGGAAATAGACGCAACTTCCTAATCAATTTAAAGTTCTTTTCACAAAAAACAGTAGAGTATTTTGCCACAGTACCGTTTTAAAAGGATTCTAGCTTCAGGCATAGAAAGAGAAAGGAAGGGTTACTCACGATAATCAGAAATATATCTTGCTAAACTTTAAAACTTGAAATTTTATTTCCAATTAACAATTATAGAGGGTGCTTGACATAGTTAGGATCTCTATAAAAAGTTTTCATTGGTACCGGGAAGTAGCCTAAAAAGTGTAAAATTTATGGTACCAATTTTAATACATATAAATTGCATTACACCATGGACACGTAGATGCTCGTTTGGCGTCATCGTGTATCGTATATTTTAGTATTTACCGCCCTTAGAGTAAATATAGGAAATAAGATACTCGCAAATTATAGAATTAAGGCTGTTTGAAGAAAGATGATTTAATGGCGTTAAATTGTGACATGATTAATTATTGTCAATGCAAAACATAACTTTATCATTTATCATTTGTCCTTTTGCATCTCTCAAAGCATGTTCATTTATTGCTAAGTGAAAACACTGGAGGCTATTTGAAATTCACAATAAAACTCGAAACTAAAAAATTAATGGAAATTGCATGTATTTTTAGCTCGTGGAATTTGATTGTGTTCTTTAACCCTTTCACTGCCAAATGTGGCCAAAGGCAAATTTCGACCAAAGTTCCACATTTCATTTTCTAAAATTTTGAGAAACAAATAGCCTCATGTGAAAGTACAGGCAGAGAGCTTTCATTTGAATGGTCACTTCATAGGATTTCGTCCATAGAATCAAAAGTTAAAGTCACCTTACAAAACCCCATCAAACAATCTGGCAGTGAAGGGGTTAAAGTAGCGTTGAACCCGAAATGCTGAAAAGGATAACCGCTTAACTTCGAAGACTTAAAGTATCGCTTTTAACTATGCCATGATATGCGTGATAAATAGAAGATTCTTTACAACGTCTGGTCAAAGATTTTGTACGCGAAACTTTAATCACTCTTTCGCGTAGCCGCAACAAATACAAAAGTTAAATATCCTATATTTAAATACAAATCTTATTACTGTAAATTTAATTAAGATTAATTGACTACATATGATAGTTCCTATGAAAGCTCTATTTCATGTTATAGGCAAAGTGAAGTTAGTCCTTGAGTAATAAAGGTTAGACTGAAAACACGAGTATGGATGCCCTTCTTCTTGAAGAATCAAACACCTTAGTAGTTACTTAAAAAGTTAAATTGAGGAACATATATATTTTTTTGACAAAATGGTGGGTTGATGAGGATAAAAGTGACGTGGTTTTGTCTTTAAACTTTGAAAATCTAAAGGACACTCTTTGCTCAAAAGGAAATAAAAACCCAAAGTGAAATCATAAGACCGTGCGTTATCGTAGCAAAGAAAAGCTGTTCATACGTGATTTAAGACAAGCTTTGGTGTTTGGTTTATAAAGTGGTGTCAAGTGGAAAATGGTACTAACAGCTTTCCAAATACCCTTTTTTATAGAACGGCTTTTGATTACATCTTATTGGTTTCCAAGTATAGCAACTCGTGTATAAGGAAAACATTAAAAAAAATTGTAGGATAAAATATCTAAAAGACCGGAATATTTTTTTGCTCCTTTAGGCCAGAAAGCCCTCTCAATTCACTGTGACAATGTTGGGGTACAGTCCGCTAAGCTGTCAAACGGCTTTCTTCAACGAAACGATTTGTGTTAATTTGCTAGCGTTCAAACCACAAAAAATTGAAACACTTTACTTTGTAGAACAAGTTCGACTGTCGTCATTCAACACACCGAAAAAAGCAAAATCAATTTCAGTTTCATTTGGTTTGTTCATTATTCTGTTCTGGGGTTTGATTCACATTCATATTCACAAACAACTTGATCTTGCTACTTTTCCGAGAAGACAACTATACTAACTATTACATAATATCTCCTTTCAGATTTAGTCCTGATAAACTGAGTCAGCAACAAAGACAGTAATATCTCTCCCAGATTTTGTACTGATAAAATCACTTAAAAAGTCCAAATCCACTAAACTTTATACGCTGAAAAGAGGGGAAGATAGATTTGCACTCTTAATAAAAGTCTATAAATTTTCTGCAAAAGGTCAAGTTTTTTCAGTGGAACTTTGAAAGGACAACCAACATTAATCAAAGAAACAAACAGGCAAAATCAATTTTCGTTTCTCATGATCAGCTTTTCACAATTTTGTGTTGTAGGATTTCGTTTGCAAATAATTGGAATTGTTGCATTTGAGCCTTACCAGAATTATGCCGAGTATTAAAGTAATATATCCTTTCAGACTCTCAGTCATCAAGAACGGAAAAGTGAATTAAAACGCCTTCATAACTATTTTTCACTTTGCTTTTTTTTTTTCTGAGGTTGAGTTCATAAATTGACGACGAAAACTTCACTAGTTACTGTAGTAGTCAAATTGAAAAGTTATATTTAACCTATATCTCTCGTTCTATTTCCTGATTAAGTATGCAAATTAAGATATGGTATTTTTTGCGATGTCAATTCCGTCACGATAATTTAGTAATATTTGCATTTATGTCCATGCATATTCATTATTTCTTTATTCCCGTCTTTTTAGGGCCTTGTTGAATTGCTTGTTGGCTTTCGAGATTACACACAGGTATTTAAAAAAAAGTTTTATTGAATTTTTTTTATCCTTTTAAACTTGCCTGAATAGTTTTGAAAGCTGATTCACACTTTGGGTTCATTGTTTTTTGAAAAATACGTCGGTCAATATGAACCTTTTCTACTTGTGAAAGAACTGACGGTCAATATGGTTAGCCCTATCAGTCAAATACCGAAAATACAGCTCATCTTATCCAAGGGAAACTAATAAACGTTTTTTATTATCTCATGGTGACGACCTTTTTAAGAGCTGACACTTCACTTCATTCTAAAAGAAGCCTTCTTCCTCATTGAAATTCATGGGAAATATTCAAGACGCACTGAAACATATTTATCAACGAAAAAATTGATGATGATAGAATTTGCATTGTCATGTCTAAATATTTAGAAGAACAGAGTAAACGTTTCTTAATAATATAAGAGGTTGCTAAGGGACACTTGTCTCTCTTTGTTTCGTCTATCAAATCTGTCATTATTTCAGGAAATTTATGAAATAACCATAAGAGATTCACCTCTCTTATAAAACGTTTTAAAGCTATTCATTTTGAACCTCCGGTATCTGATTCAATTAAGTTTAAGGAAGAGGTCGATGAAAGACTTAAAATCGTCTTAAGAGCTTCTAAAAACGTGATGCCACGAGTTTCCTTAAACTCTAGTTACCATCCAACGCTGACGTCAGCAGTCAAAGGCTTGACTACCTGAACAACGGTCATCTTGGGTAATTCTTTTTTGCTTCAAATAGTGTAAAATCAAAGTAATCATTTTCTTGAGCTGGCTAAAATTTGGAAAATAATTGTGAACCAGATATAAATGGGAACTAGGAGCTAGCTATCGGTCGAATTACTGTAAACGTGAAATTGGCCGGTTTCGAGAGATTATTAAATGGTGAGTTAGCCAGGGCGTCAGACAGGAGATTTCTTTTCAAAACGTTTAAGGGGGAAGGAATTAAGGGGGAAGGATTTTACTCCATGGTGGACAAAATCATAATAAATAAAGAGCACCACTTTGGCAGAACTTCTGCATTGTTCTTGTAATTTCTTACAAACAGCTGTATTTAAATTTTCTCTTTGTGAAGTTTTTACAATTAGGAGTGTTGCTTTTCAATTTCTCTTGACGGATTTCTTGGAAAATTAAGAAAAGAGAGAAACACTAGTTTCATCCAGGGCACAGGGCTAAACTTTTTTAAAAAGAGGAATGAATCCGAAGCATACATTTCTTTTTCGGTTACTGTTCATACAACGCGTACATGTACACTGCGATGCTGTTTAGGCTCTTAGATTAGAGAACAGAATTTTTGACGATACAAACGTTTACTAGGATTGTCGTGTTCGTGCCCTGGATGAAAAGAAAACTTTGAGACAGCTGGGAGACGCTATTATATGGATTTGCTAAAGTAGCGCTCAACGCATGGGTAGATGGAAAACCTGATTCAACCTGATTCGCCACTCCGGGTGAGCAGTCCCGCGAAAATATTGATATATTCATAAACACAAGCGTTGACCAAAATAAAGTGGAAGACGTTTGCGATATCTAGTAAAATGACGTCAATAGTGCAGGCTTTAGCCATGGTGGGAAATGTTACACGTTTTGCGAAAACGAAATGGCCGAACTTCTGCCTAAAATCATAACAAAAAAAAAAAAACAGCTACGACTTGACGGATGACAAGTGCTGTTTGCTAGACTAAACATCCATTTATATCGTGAATTTGCCAAACAGATGAATGAAGACGGGAACTTAACATTGATCGAGGTAAGCATGTTTGAAGTGCAATTTGGCCTCGTGCTTTCGTATGATGTGAAGAATTATACCGATCTCTGGCAGGGGATGTCACCGCCTTGGCCGATAACACCCTCCATAATCAGCACTGCAGAGATGGTAGAATTTATCGCCTTGCCGTTCCCGTTCCCAAGTAAACTTAAAATTTGGTCATTTCACTTCATAGTTGTGCAGTGACTGCAAAAAAATGTACAAAAAAGCTTGATGCACGGGCAGAGTTGTTTGGCTCATTAAACCTATTGCGTTTTTTGTCGCTCCCGTTGCCGTCGCCGACGTAGTTTTTTAAGGACCATAATTTACAGAAAGAGGCGGCGCACGCGCAGTTTTTCGTCAAAAGCTACCCTCGCCTGACACGACGGAGTCTTAAAGGTCTGAGGCAGGAGCCCGATGGGCTCCTGTCTGAGGGTATATATCCGTCATGTGGGG